CAGGGGCAAGGCAAGCCCCTCCCAGCTGTTACCTGATTGGTAGAAATGTCCACCAATCCAAAGTGTCCTTCTCCAAGCTGGACTTACCAGGCAAAAGAAGTGAGCCCGCCATACTTGTCATAGGTCAGGGAGCACTGGGCTGGCCACTAGCTGAGGCAGCACCATGGCCCCTGTTCCCTTGCTTTCCCAGCTCTGCGGCTCAGCAATGCTTTTTCCCCATCTCTCAAGATTCCCATGGAAACCCTTAAGTCAAAGCTGTGAGATCTGGGGCAGGTCAGGTAAAGGAGATGCCTCTTGCCCACTGCACTTGCTTACCCTCTTCATGGTTTGGCCAACTGCTAACAAAATGGATTGGTTTGTTATCTAATATGTATTATTTTTTATGCACTTTAAGAAATAAATTCATTTTTGAAATGGGGTACTGCTAAACTCAGAAAAGTTACAATGGGGAGCCTTGAGTCCAGAAAAGTTGAGAACCACTGTCCTATCTTCATCTCTCTCCCCTAACGTGATTCTTCTTTCCATTGTACGCTCTCTTTTCTGTCCATCCTTTGCATTCTTCCCCAAACCCTTTATCTAGCAGTATGTTGGTATCTTATAAATTATATTTAACCTTGTAAGACTGATCCAATCTTTTTGTCATCCCAGATTCTTTTTTTAATGGTCAAAAGTAGACAATTAAAACGTTAAAAGCACAGAAACGTCCAAAAACTTTAGAACCAGGTTTAGAGAGCTGATGATCAAGCACCACTGGGGTTAAAAGGCTTTTAGAAAAAGAATATTAATTTTAGTCTGAATATTCAGGCTGAGGAAAGAGCTGCTCCACCACCAGCAGTTCAGGATTGAAATTAGTTTCTTTGACCTCTTCAAAAGAAGAGACTTGTTTTTTAAATATATTTCTGCTCTCCTCCTCAAAAGACATGGAAGAGGATGGAGCAGGTTGGTCCAATCTGGAGATCAGTGAGTAGTGAGAGTTATCTCTGTGAGTCATTGTCACCTCTTGTACAACTTCTACAGCTCTTAATTTTGACTGTGCAATTTGCTTTTGAGCATAATCACGTCAAAGCAACATGTGAGCAGCAGAGAGGCAACAGAGGTTATATCATGGGACTAGAAAACAAGAAATCTGTATGCTAGTCCTGATTCTGCTACTGCTTCAGTGTTTGAACTGGGGGGAAGTCACATCACCTCCCTGTGCCTTGGGGTTTTTTGTTTCCATCTGTAAAATGAGAATAATAATATGTATTTACCTTTACAAAGCACCTTGAGACCATGGCATGAACACTTATGTATATTCCTACTATTCTGTTCCTCTTCTATATTTAAATTGCTTCTTCAGTAGTACCTGACCCATTTGCAAGCTTAGACAGGAGCCTAAAATGGGCAAGTCTTCATCTGAATACTCAAAGGCAGAACACAATACTTTAAGTGAGGCATACTATGTGAGATTTGGGCCACACGTTTTCTAGAAAGTGGGAGCATCTACATTTTAGCATGCTGGTTACAGACTGTTCTCAGCCAAGAGAAAGCAAACCCATGTAATGATTGTGTAGGATGAAGAGTGGAAAAAAGAACGTTAAAATTAAGCACAAGCATTCCTCAGGAGGGCAGGGGTGGAAGTTAGAAAAGCTATTGCACCTAAGACCTCTCCAATAAAGAGTTTGATTGCTACTGTGACATGAACATGTTTTATAATTGGGTCAGGAGTGACTGAATTGCACCTGGGCAAGTCTGCTGTCATGCAGGCTATGAGGTCATGCACACATTTCCTTGCTTGGCATTTCTATGGCCAGGGACAAATGGAACCCATGGTCCAGGAATGGTCAGGCATCGTCCCAGTATCATCCATACCAGTGCTAATTGCCCAAATGAAAACATAGGATATGGTTAAGGTGGAAACAGCAAAAGTCCCTTTAAGAATGTGCACTGCTTTTCAGTCACAGTTTAAATGGTTTGCTTCTCATTGGCACTTGAACTCTGTCCAACACACTCAAGTGTAAATTAATTGTTTCAGAAATGCAGCATTAATGGTACATTAGGGGGGGGAAAGGGTTCTGAATTTACACCAGACCCTGAACAAGGAAGATCAAAGGAAAACAGTGTTACCCTTAAAACATGCATACGTGCACACTCACTGCTTCACTGTGAAATTTATATGCAGAGCCATCCCTGGGCAGCCTCCTGCCTGAGGGCAGATTAAAGCAACAGGACACACATCCTCAAACATGGTCCCTGGATCTTTTGTTATGCATAGCAGTTTTACACCAGCATCACTCAGTTGATATGGGAGAAGGAGAAAGAGACATAGACTGCAAAGGTTTCCTAAGGATCTGACACACAAAAAAACTAAGCAGGGGGAAGCTCTGTCATGATACTCATTTCACAAGCCTACCATGAGAAACAGGCAAATAACCGAAACAGCACATTTAATGTCAGCCTGGGGGCGGAAGCAATTAAAAAGCAACCAGAACCACAGACCCCCCCCCCTCCATCTCCCCCACCCACAATGCCCCAAGACCCTGTGATAATCTCCTGAATTTCTGAAGCATAGAAGCCAACAGGATTAAGGATCCTCGTGCTCCTCGGTGTGATCATGTGATGACCTGCTGATCCCAGCAAAAGGCAATATTTCTCAATTAAGTTCTCACTTCTTTTGGCTGTAGAATACTCCAAGTGCCACTGAACTTCTCCACATCCCTGAGTGATTTTCCCATTTCTTAGCTTTTAGAACAATATTCTCTTGAGTAGTAGTAACTCAGTTTCAGGGAATAAGAGACTGAAATAATTTCTCAGGCTTGGTGGAGGACTCTAGTACCCTGTAAACAGCACAGTTGGAGTCTGTGTAAGTCTCTGTAGACAAAGAAATAGGAGCATGGGTGGTTTGGGGCCATAGTCAATGGATGTTGATTACAGCATCATAGTGTCATAGAACCTTTTCTAGCTGAGGCAATGAATAGTTGTGGGTGTGTGCCATGAGGTTAGAGGTCACAATCCTATATGAAATGTACATTATGCAATCTACCAATGAAGGAGAATAAGATTTCATAGATTTCATACATTTCATAGACATTTGGGCTGGAAGGGACCCTGGAGGATCATCAAGTCCAGCCCCCTGCCCCAGGGGCAGGAAGTCAGCAGGGATCATAGGATCCCAGCAAGATAAGCATCCAAATGTGTCTTGAAGGCGTTCAAAGTGGGTGCTTGAACCACCTCCAGTGGTAGTCTGTTCCAAACCTTGGGGGCTTGGAGAGTGAAGAAATCCTTGCTTATGTCCAGCCTGGATCTGCCACAGTGGAGTTTGTTTCCATTCGATCTTGTCATCCCTTGGAGGGCTCTGGTGATATAGGTTTTCTCTGGCATAAACTCTCATAGCTCCTTTGATGTTAATAGGACAATGATAGTTTGCATCAGGGGACAACTTACCTCCAAAAGTTTAATGTCAGACAACGGATGCCGTGAAGTTACTTTTCTGTGGGCTATCTACACACAAGAAGCAGTTTCACCACTCCAACACAATGACATCAAAAAGCACACCCTTAACTTTTTTTCTGGTCCCTACATTCACACTTTATTTGACCTTAGTAAACACAGGTTTTAATCTGGAACGGGCTGCCAAGAGAGGTGGTACTATCACCTAACTTGGAGGTCTTCAAGAGGAGGCTAGATAGGCACCTGGCTGGGGTCATCTGATCTCAGTCCTTTTTCTGCCTGGGGCAGGGGGTCGGACATGGCGATCCATCAGGGTCCCTTCCGACTCTACAATCTATGAATCTATGAGAAAAAACCATCAACCAGGTTCCTCCTCCCCTCCCCCCGCACTCTCCCCATTTCTAGATTACCTCTGATTATTTAAGTCAACACATTTTATTTGGTCTGATTTCTTAAATGCATAAATAAATAAGGATTTAGAATTGTCACTGGTGTTTCTGTGCCCAAGTTTTACTTCCTCTACAATTGCCAGAGGAAAGTAATCATGTGCTAAGCAGAAGATGAAAGCTTATAATAAGTCTCTGTATTTTGAGGCTGCAGGGGGAGGATGGGAAAAGTCACTTGGATGTAACCCAGAACATGTGATAATCAGATTAACAGGGTACTGTGTGTGTGTTTCTATGTCTGGAGTAGGAATGGTGAAAGATATTGAAGACTTGCATAGTAAAAAAGTCAGGAGTGAAACTTTACCACTGGAGGGAAACAATTTCTTTCATTCTCTGGGCTGCAGAAGGGGACAGAGCTCTTCATGCACTGAACCATAGCACTGAACGTCGCCTGCTGCTGTGTTAGGATGTCTCTCTTTGCAATGACTTTCCTGCTGGGAATCCTGCAGCCTTCTTCTGCACAGTTCCCTCGAGTCTGTGCTACTTCAGAAAGTTTGCTGAAGAAGGAGTGTTGCCCGCTATGGGATGGAGATGGGTCTCTCTGTGGGGAGTTGTCCAACCGAGGGTCCTGCCAAGACATCCTTCTCTCCCATGCTCCTCTAGGACCACAGTTCCCCTTTTCAGGGGTGGATGACAGGGAGGACTGGCCTTCTGTGTTTTACAATAGGACATGCCGGTGCAATGCCAATTTCATGGGATTCAACTGTGGAGAATGCAAGTTTGGTTTCTCGGGGCCCAGCTGTAACGAGAGGAGACTGCGAGTGAGAAGAAATATCTTCCAGATAACTGCCAGGGAGAAAAATAAGTTTCTTGCCTACCTCAATTTGGCTAAGCGCACTCCCAGCCGGGACTATGTCATTGCCACTGGCACTTATGCTCAGATGAACAATGGCTCAAACCCAATGTTCAGCAATATCAACATATACGACCTCTTTGTATGGATGCATTATTATGTCTCTCGTGACACCTTGCTAGGTGGGTCAAGCATATGGAGGGATATTGATTTTGCCCACGAAGCTCCAGGTTTTCTGCCTTGGCATCGACTGTTCTTACTGATGTGGGAAAATGAGATTCAGAAATTAACGGGTGATGAAAACTTCACCATCCCCTACTGGGACTGGCGAGATGCCGAGGGCTGCGATATCTGCACTGATGAATACATGGGAGGCAGGCACCCCACCAACCCTAATTTACTGAGCCCAGCATCTTTTTTCTCCTCCTGGCAGGTAGGGACTGGCAGGTGGGGGAGTGGTGGGGAGAGGGAGAGTTCCTCTATGCAGAGGTATGCCATGTATACTGGTTTTTGGTAAGTGGGAAATCTAGTTTCCCCAAGTGTCTCATTCTCTTCCTAAATCACCTTTAGTGTGCACAGTGTGACTCAAGGCAAGATGTGCAAACAGCTTTGTGGTAATGCTGAATATATACATCTAGCTAAGAGAAAACAGGGCATTTGTATGCAACTTGCCAGCATGCAGCCATTCCACAGAAGTGTTTGTATCTGAGGAATGGAAACCAAAGTATGCAGTTGTCCTGAATTTACTCTGCAAGCTACAAATTGGAAGGCTTTCTCCTCCCCTTTTTGTCCAAATTTTAAAACCATCCAATTAAGCTTATCTACTTTAATGCAAAAGTCTTCAGTGCACCCAGAAGGACTGGCTGTGTTGTTTTATAGTTTCATAGTTAGTAGGGTCGGAAGGGACATGAGCAGATCATCAAGTCCGATCCCCTGCCATGGCAGGAAAGAGTATTGGGGTAAAACGACCCCAGCAAGGTGATTGTCAAACTTTGTCTTAAAGACCCCCAGGATAGGAGCCAGCACCACTTCTCTTGGAAGTTGGTTCCAGATCCTAGCCGCCCTGACAGTGAAGTCGCACCTCCTGATGTCTAGCCTGAATCTACGCTCCACCAGCTTGTGACCGTTATTTCTAGTCACTCCTGGTACTGGTCAGGGGAACAGGTACTCCCCGAATGCCTGCTGGTCCCCCCTGACTAGTTTGTAACAGGCCACTAGATCCCCCCTCAGCCTTCTCTTATGGAGGCTGAACAGGTTCAGGTCCCGTAGCCTCTCCTCGTAGGGCTGCCCTGCTGCCCCTGGATCATGCGGGTGGCCCCTGTCTGGACCCTATCCATGTTGCCCACATCCCTCTTGAAGTGCGGTGCCCAAATCACTTGTTAACATCAGTGATTTTTTTTGAAGGACAAATAAGAGCTAATAAATCGAGCTAAGAATTTAGTATTCTGAATATTTCTGACTTTTCAAGCAAAGTTTAATTTAATCTGTAAAGCAAGTAACCTACCCCATCTTTGCCTAGCTCAAGTACTGTTTTTGTACTGGGCTCAGATGGAGTGCGTTGGGAGTTCACAACTTTAAAGTCTTAATTGTGACTCAATTATAATCTATTAATGCCTACACAGGGGAGAAAAAAGTTGATAACAGAGGTTCTTCAATCTAGCAAATAAAGTTAGAGCAAGAGCCAATATTTGAAAATTTAAACTAGGAAATACAGACTAGTTAAAGTGCACATTTTTATTGGGAATTTTTATTGGGGAAGAAGGCAGGGCACCTTAGAGACTAACTGATTCAGGGAGACATGAGCTTTTGTATTTAATCAGCAGGTTGTCACCAATGAAATCTTATGCCTCTGAAAAAGCTAGTCTCTTAAAGTGCCAGTCTGGCCTGCCTTCTGCCTGATTTCTGACTAACACAGCTAACTACTTCTCTCTACCCATTTTTATCAGTGATAGAGAAACAGAGATAGGGCTGTGGCAAATCACTGGAAATGTTGTAATTGGGGTGGCTGCTTTTCTAAAATAAATGCTCTAGTTTAAACAAAGCTATTAAGTGCACTCAAAGCAGGATTGAATGCAAGGAAGTCCCATTGTCAGTGTTAAGGAGGAAGTTAGAGTAGACAATTACTATGTCCTTATGGTCTATGAAAAAGTTGGGGTGAACTGTCTTTGTTTCACTGACCTCCAAAGAGATGCATTGATTTATGCCACCTGAGGACTGGCCAGTTTTCATGATTTAAGCAGACTGGGAGAGACTCACTGACATGCTTCAGCAGCTTTTTGTTGTTGTGGTGTCACAAAGCAAAGACTGACTTAACTAGCTGCTGAATGCAAATGCAGGTTCCCTTTGTATCGTCTGGAACTGCACAACGTACCCAGATAGTAGCATCTGCCTCTTTATTTTGAGCTTATGACACCTTTCATTGGCTGCAGGGTAAAACCAGAGTAGCTCTGCTGATTTGGGTGAAAGTCCAGCTGCACACCATTTCAGTGCAAAAATTGGTCCAACCTACAAAACAAGCATAAACAGGAAGGTATTTACTACACAGTGCAATTTGTTCATTCTGACAAAATGAGACTAGCAGATCCCTACAGAATCTGATCCTTATTTCTAAAGGTCTATACATGAAAATGGCATTTAAGCATAGAAATGATATCCTGGCCCCAGTGAAATCAATAGGAATTTTGCTATTGACTTCAGTGGAGCCAGTATTTCACCCATAATGTCAGAGTCAAAACTAGAAAGTTTTGCAGTCAGAGCTGGACAACACTCAGGGGGGGCCAGGGGAATGGTTGTCATCTTACCTGCTCCAGAGACTCCAGAGGTATCACAGCCCCCAGCTGTTGCTTTTGAGGTGAAGTGTCTGCATGCTTTGCCTGTTTCTGCTGTAGCATGTAGCTGTTCCTGTGGTGGGGCTCCCTGGAGACCACAATTCAGGCAGCCCCTCTACATCAGTGCCCAGGTTTGGCACTTCCCTTGCCTGCCATAGTTATACTACTGTATAACATATGGTGGGGCTGATTCTGGCTTCACACTGGTTTAAATGAAGAGCAATGAAAGAAGCGTAGAGATACCATGATACCAGGGTAAAATTAATGTAAGTGAAGCTAGAATCAGGCCTCTCATACCTATCAGATTGGATGGTGAGTCAATAATAGGAGGGTACAGTTATTTACAGGGCATTAGCAAGTTTCTTTTTCTCTTCACAAGCATGCATGTTTCCTACAAGGTACTATGTGTTAAGGAGGTGGGGAGTGGAAACAGTCAGGTTTGTTATGCTTTGCTTATCTTCTCAGACATGATTGTTCAATCTAGCCTCTCACAGATTCCCTATGATGAAAGTGCTCTGATAGTACAACATATTTAAAAATCAGTGGGATTTTATGTCAGGATTTCAGGGTGGCTGTCACTCAGCCATTTGGTAAATGATGCAAAGCTTTCACAATGCAAGTGAAGCCAATCAAAGTCTTTACCTGAGTAGGTCACAAAAGTTTGGAAAACCGCAGGATGTTTAAAAGATGTTCAGTCTGGGGGTAAAATTTTCAAAAAGCACCGACATGCCATTCTCAAAAGCCTCTTGAATCACATTGGAGAATCTGATTTGAACACTTAAGACATTCAGATGCTTTTGAAAAAGTTTGCGGTTGACCAGTTTTCAAACTAGCTCTATACAGAACTTTGAACTCTGATACTCCTCTTGTATTTTTATTCTATGTAGTACTCTCTTGACTTAGGACTAGATGCAGTAAAGGACTTTCATGTTTAAGACAGGACTTAGTCAGGACTCTATTGCCTAAGTCTAAAATTGCAATTCAAAAAGCATTGCTCACCTGCTGCCTAATTTTAGGCATGCCTACACTTAGGACACAGACAGAAGTTACATTTGTGGTGCAATTGGCCCCTTGAAAACACTCTACAGCCATGCTCTTACAGAAAAGCATGGCTACAGAGCACTTTAAAAGTGCCTGATCACGTGACAATCTGAACCTTTATTACATGAGGATTCAGATGACGGCACTTCAAAATGCAGCGCCTTCATTAACTTCTGCCAGAGTGCACTGTTCCCAGTGCTGTCTTCAGAATGGGAGGGGGAGAAGGGAAGGAAGGGATTTCCATCTGGGGTTTGCCCCACCCTTGCTAGAGGGTGGGACTGGAGCCCCCCTGAGGTGGGGGAGCTCCAATCCACCTACCCCACCCCCCAGCACCAGCTTGGCACCCCCAGACTGAGCTCCCTCCCCTCCCATTCTGAAGGCAGAACTGGAACTGGGTGGTGGGGAGGGGCACGGCTAACTGGAGCTTGATTCCTCAGCCCCCTGGACCCAACAGCAAGTATCGTTGGGTCGCGGGGGAGAAGGTCGCTCTAACTCATGGTACTTCCCGGGAAGCGCCATGACTTACTGTGGGGAGCTGAATGTGTGTCAGTGCCTTCTAAAGTGTCTCACCCTTTGACTAAGGAGTCAGCTAGCTGTCTGTAATGCTATCCTTGAGCTTGCCTAGGACTGTCCTAGTATGATTGCTGAGCTCTAGGGTGGATCTGGATCTAAACTCTCAGCAATGGATGTCTAATCCCCTCAGGAAACTGACCTGTGACGTGTTCTCCATACCTACCACCCACCCAAAGTTATGTGCTCTCCACAAGATGCTGTTGTGACCATTCTTTAAAAAACAACACAGATGGTGGAAGTAGTCCCTGTCCTAAGGTTGTTTCTGGATTTTATCCAATGACTGTCTAATGCAAACTACAGAAATAGCCCTAGGAGATTGCAGTGTAAGACTAGTTCTCCCAAATGAATGCCCTCGGTAAGAAGCTAAAGGGTCATCCTCCTCCTTATGTGATTCTGGCGTCTTAACCTATGGATCTCTTCCTTTATGGAGGCATGACTTCACGAATGCACATACTCAGAGTAATGGTAGCCTGATCACTCTATTGTTCAAAATGTGGTACTACTACCAAAATGTGGTCCCTTTTCAACTGACTGTTCTTTACAGGAGAGAGTAACCTGGAATCATTCTTGAAAACAAATATACATTTTCAAGACACCTGCCCACAGGAGAGGAATTCAGTCTGTGGTTTCTAAATGAATGGACGTGCCTCATTTGTAGCCCTGCAACAGGTACTCTGGAGTAGGACAGAACTTCTGACACATCCATGTCACATCAGATACATCAGTATTTTCCTCTCGGCTAGGTCTTGGCAGCTTTCTACTCAGCGTACAGTTTTCTTGGACTGCATTGCTGAGGTACATGACTACAGACTGTGTGGAGGGAACTGGGACACTTCAATCTGGGTTCTGGATTCCATGCTTGAATGCTTCATTGGATATACCCCTTACAACCCATTTCCAATTCTGGAGCATGTGGTGACAGTGTAGCTCAGCCTATTATTCCTCTAGTAGCCTCTAAGCTAAAGTTCACTTTTGACTATAATGGAATAAC